AAACATATTTCATCCAGTTTTTCTCAGTCTTACCCCCACCCCAATGCCAACCTCATTCTACAACAGTGGCACCATATAGCATTTGTCCCTTTGTGCAAAGTGGGTTGACTTCTTGCAAACAAGGAGGGCTTACACCTTGGGAAGCCAGGAAAGCCCACAGTTAGATGTTAGAAAGAACTTAACAGGGTTTAGGCTTGTTTTGGGTAATTTTTTGTAGAAGATTTAAGAAAAAAGGACTTACTTGTGATTGATGTTATCAAGAAGTGAGAATTCTGTGGTTTGGGTATGTTATGCATACTTACGTAGAAAGCAAGAAAATGGAACAAGGCCAACTCTATGGTTAGTTTTAAAAGAAGAAAAAGTTTACTCAGATCAGCCAGGGAAGAGAATTATTTGGTCATTTTTGTCATTTGAGCTATAATTTTTTTTTTTCAGTGTTCAGATGTGACTTTGTGGAATGCTTTTGTTTTTATTAGAGCCATCACAGTCAGAGAGGGGTCTTGTTTGATGTTGGTTCTTTTAACAAGAGAAATAACTGACAAATAACATCAAGGCATGGTTGGTTTTCCCAGACTCACTCTCTTCTGTGCGGGATAGCTTTTCTCTTTCTCAAAATTCTTTTGAGTTTCTTATTTCTTCATATGATTCCTTTTTTTCAATAATTGAGTAGATTGTAGTTGAGAAATATGTCCTTTGTTATGTGTTTCCCCCAAAAGGTACTAACTCTCCTAAGCAATGATTTTTAAAATCACTACCTAACATAACTGGAGAGCGTTATGCTAAGGGAACTAACTGAGTCCCATAAGGACAAATACTGTTTAAGAGCATTATTGTAGAAATAAAAAGATAACTAATAAAAATGTGTATGGTAATCCAAGGTGGAGGGAGCAGAGGTGAAGATGGGTGTGGGGGTAATCATAGGGTTGTACAATTTGATGAGTGGAGGGAGGGGTTGGTAAAGGAAATGGGAAAGATCCATTGTGAAAGATAATATATATGAAGTATATAAACCGATATAAAAATTTCATTTTTTTAAAGAAAGGTTCTAACTCTGATCATAATATTCAAATAAATATAGCCTAAATTAATACATTTCGTCTAAATGATTTATTTTGTTTAAAAATATTTCTTCACCTACATCAAAATTTATATCCATGGTAAATGATTAAAAGAATTTTCTTTTACAGCAAACATCAAACCAAACGCAAACAGATTCATTATCTCCATCCCCTAATCCGGTGTCACCTGTGCCTTTGAATAATTCAACAAGTGCCCCAAGATATGGAACAGTGATCCCTAATCGCATCTTTGTAGGAGGAATTGACTTTAAGGTACTTAATTTATGCACATAGTATAGCATCTGTTTTTGCATTGTTGATTTTAAGTACCATAGAATTTGAACTGAACCATAGCTGATCCTCTGGCAAGTTTTCAGGGGCAGTTAATTGCATGGGAGGGGATTGCCCATCCTTCTTCCTCAGAATGACCTCAAACCACATGCCTTCGGGATTCCAGCACAGCTTCTTGGTGCTGGACCACAAAGCTCGCATATTTTTGTATTGGAATATATTTGCATTAGATAATTTCAATTTCTCAGAAATTTGTTTCTCTTGTACAGCTAAAAAATGTATTTGCATGATGATCAATATATTTCATATTGTTTTGATGTTAGTAATCTTGACATCAACTTTGTAAGTAAAGCTGTTCAAGTTGTTAAGTGCTTTTGAGTTGGAACTATTTCATAGCGACCCTCCAGAGGGTCTTCAGAGGCAACAAATTGCAAGAGGGTAAATTGCCCATCCTGCTCCCACAGAGCACCTGTTGTGGTCAAACCATATGCCTTTGAGATTGCAGTGCAGCTTCTTACCACTAGCCCACCAGAGCCCGTTAGGGTATATTTAATTGTCCAATTTTTACATATCAGGAAACTTGGGCTCCTTTACTTGATATAGGCTCCTAACTAATTACTGACAGTGAAGATTAGACTGTTTCCTGACTCATATCTCCATATTCATTTCATCATAGTACACTTATGCTTTTTGAGTAATATTCCACCAGGTCAAATAAAAGGTATCCTGGTAGCTTAGTAGTTAAACATTGAGCTGCCAATCAAAAAGTCAGCAGTTGGAACTTACCAGCCAATCCAGAGGTGAAATGTAGCAGTCAGCTTCTGTAAAGATTTGTAGCCTTGGAAACCTTACAGGACAGTTCTAGTCTGTTCTTTTAGGTTACTGTATGCATAGGAATCAACTTAATGCCATTGAGGTTGGTTTTTTTCACCCAGATAATATGTTGTCATTTTTCAGAGAAGACAATTTAGTCTTATGAAATCCTTTCTTTACCTCCTGTTCTAAGAATTCTTGTGGAAATTGCTTTTTATGATTTTTTTATTATTATTTTTTGTGTGTACCATCAGATCTGATCTGACTAGTACAGGAGGAGATTGTCTCTCCTTCTCCAGCAGAACATCTGGTGGATTTGAACTTTGTGCCTCTGGGATTGCAGTGCAGCTTTGCTTTCTATGATTTAATTCAGAATTAATTACCAAAAAAGTCCCGTCCATGTCAGAATTAAGCATTTTTACAGTTGTTGTTATGTGCCACCAAGTTGCCTGCAACCCATAGTGACCCTGGATACAGCGGCTCTAAAACCTGCCTTGTCCTGAGCCAGTCTCACTAATTCTGGCACACCAACTCCCATTTCCCCAGTTATTATAGCAATCCATGTCATCCAGGGTCTTCCTCTCCTGCACCGTCCCTCCACCTTCCCAAGATGATATCCTTCAAGGACCAATCTCTCCTGGCCCAAAGTATGTGAGACAGAGCTTCAAAATTCTAGCCTCTAAGGAAAACCTTGGTTTAAATAATTAACGATTCCCTTTCAAAGAAACATAGTTTGTGAGATAATTTATAGTGTTCTCATATTGGAGGTAGATGTGACCACCTGCAAGACAGACATGCTTGAATACTGTATATTTTCCATTTTTTATTACCGGAATTGATGGGCATAGTTCTATTATTTTTTTTTTTTCATTTAAAGAATCCTTGTGCTGTTTGAGTGTGGTCTGTATAACTCACTATTTGTGGATTGTTGTCATGTTTGAGGTTAAAGGCTTCCTCAGAAGAACAGCCTGGCAGTCTGCTTTGGAAAAGTCAGCCATTGAAAAGCCCTGTAGATAACAGTTCTAATCTAACATATAAGGGGTTATGAGCTTGAATAGACTAGACAGCAACTGGTTACTTCCATATAGCCAGTCTGTCTCTATTTAATTATAATTACTCTTGTTCAGAAAATGTAATGTTTTAACCAATATGATGATTCAAATTTGTGACTCAAACTAGACATCTAATAGAATCAGTGCTAAAATAAGGACTAGTATTAGAAGATTTTAAAATAAATTACTTCAAATTATTCTAAAGCAGAGAATCACTAACTCAATAAATACGTGATGATTTCAGTAAAAGTAAAGAATACTAATTTCCCATGAAATTATAATTTGAAAAAATATTTTCTTTTTCTCTGGAATATACCCAATTTGGATATTCCTGTTTAGAATTATCTTCATTATAATAGTTAAAATATGCTCGCTCGCTCGCTCTGTGTGTGTGTGTGTGTGTGTGTGTGTGTGTGTGCATAAAAATCTGTGTGGTAGTTACTAGAACCTATCATCTACAGTATGAATTTACATACTGTAAATGTACTACTGTGAATGTACAGTCACAGCTTTAAAATACTACTGTGGTCTCTAATTTAAACCAAGGAAATACCTTATTGTATTAGCACGAAGAATCAAGGTTTTTAAGCCTCTTATACTTTAGGCACCATAGCCTATCCCTCTTAATATTTAATCATCATTTCCTTATTACCAGCAGTTTTCTGTGTCTTTGCTTCTAACAAAAAAGTTGAACTTAAGAGTTAGTGATTCTCTTACATAGAATAATTTTAAGACACTTGTTTTCAAATCGCTTAACATGAGTCCTTATTTAAGAATTGATTCCATTATGTGTCTACTGAAATAAAAGGCAAGCTGCTGATCTTAGCGTAATTTAATATTTGTCATCATCCAGTTTATCAGACTCTGTGTTACTAACTAAAAAGCTTCACTTCAGATGCTTTGGGCATGTTGCTAAGAGAGGCTGTTCCTTGAAGAGGGACATCATCTTTGGAAAGGTGAAGGTGGACAAAAGAGACCCTCAACTAAATTGATTAACACAGTAACTGCTGCAGTGGGCTCAAATATGTCAAAGATGATGAGGATGGCAAAGGATAGGACATAATTCAGTTCATTCGGTCCCTGTGAGTCTTACTAAACTTGGTGTCACCTCATAACAAAAAGCAATAAATAGTATATAAAGGAGCAATGGAACTCAAGAAGCATAGCTGTCCTATTTGGTACACCTCTTCCCATCGGTATGTTACAGTTGTTATGTGCCATTGAGTCACCTGCCACTCATAATGACCCTATGTATAATATCCCTATCCTGATCTAGTCTCACTGACTCCAGCATACGCAGCTCCCCTTTACCCTAGTTACTGTGTCAGTCCATCTCATTCAAGGTCTGCCTCTCTGACATTGTCCCTCCGCCCTTCCAAGCATAATGTCCTCTTCTGAAGACTGGTCCATCCTGACTACATGTCAAAACTATGTAAGCCAGAGTTTCAAAAGCCTTGCCTCCAAGGAGAAACTTGGTTTCACCATCTCCAAGACATATGAAATTATTTTTAGGGGCAAACAGTTAATAGATAAAACAGGAAATTAAATTAACAATTTAAGGTGAATACTTTGGCAAAAAGGGTAATGTGCAACTATTTCAGTTATAACCAAGTATTTCCAAACCGTCTTTGTAAACATACATTGTACATCTAATTACATATTTCAATTGTCGTTTTTAATATATCATCTATAGCTGAAATAAATATCAAGTATAGATAAATTATCTGATAACTAAATCTTACAGAAACTCCTTATTATCACAGGTTGAGTTCAACTACTTTAAGAAATAAAACGGCTTTCCTAATACCCTACTCTTCCTGAGGGTTATGCTGACTAAAACAGAGCAAGTGGTGTAGGCCACCATAACCCAGTTATTCCACCACCACCATGAGCCTCCCAAAACAACAGAGCCAGTAGTGGTATATGCACTTAGTATATATTTGTAGCCATGCCTAACCTAGATTGTTGGTTTTTTTTAATCCGAACTAAAGACTAAAAACCACTTACAGAGCCCTTTATATAAGTTGTTTATGGGATTTTAGTTAAACTTAAAAATTTTTTATTGATATAGTAACAATTTAATAAAATAATTATGGCAAAAAACTTAACACTTACTTTAATAACCTAATGTTTTGCATTATTTTTTGTAATGAGAGGTGCTCTTACATCATTTTATCATAACTTTTTAATGCTTAAAAAAAGGCATAAGGATTGTTTCCTCTTTTTTCAATTTAAAATGGTTTTCCATGTTGTCTTTTTTGTGCCATTAGACAAATGAAAATGATTTAAGAAAATTTTTTTCCCAGTATGGATCTGTAAAAGAAGTGAAGATTGTAAGTGACAGAGCTGGAGTATCCAAAGGGTTAGTATCACTAAGAATAGTGCACAAAATTACTAACTGTATTTTACTAAATTACTTAGTTTTGTTTACTAACTTATTTTGGTTCTTATTTTATAAAAAAAATCTTTTGTTTCTTATATATGTTTACTAATGTGCATGCATGCCTGTGTATATATTTAAAAAGGAGGGAAATAGTATTGAATTCCTGATTTATTAGGAAGGTTTTCTTGCCATGGACTGAAACATTTAAGTTATAAATGTTAATATTCAGTACCTACTGTCCAGAAGCTAAGGAATGAGAAGCTAAAGAAATGTTTGGAATTGTATTTCTGTTAGTATAGTGAGAACATTGTCTAGTTAGTGGTAAGGAGTTGTGCTGCCATCCCATAGGCACACAGTTTTAATCCAGCTTCTCCTTGGGAGATGGACAGTCTCCTCATGTGTGATTTATAGCCCTGGAAAAACCCTCCAGAGAGTCAGCTATGAGTTAGTTCCAAGTCAGTACCACAGAGTAACACCAGCTCTAAAGAATGGAACTTTGGCCACTTTGAATCAGATAATCATATGGTATACTATGCAGAGAATGAAAAACAGAAGAAAAGTGGTATTAGCTTTCATTATCTAAAAGTCCATTTCAAGTTCTATCCTCAAGTACAATGTTGTGAGTGATAAGATATTATCCTTACACATACACAGAAGACCCTTAATATGACTACTATTCAAATACATGTTCTTAAATCTAGAGCCAGAGAGGTGGTCGGTTGTTATTATGTGCTTTCACGTCGCCTGCAACTCATAGTGACCCTATGTACAACATCCCTAAACCCTGCTCTAGCCTATGCCAATCTCACTGTCTATGACACACCTACATTATTACCCCAGTGACTGAATCAATCCATCTCATATAGGGTCTTCCTCCCCTGTGCTGTTCTTCCACCCTCCCAAGCATGACTGTCCCTCTTCAAGGACTGGTCCTTCCTTCAGCATGTCCAAAGTATGTCAGACGAAGTTTCAGAATCCTTATCTCTAAGGAGCAGCCTGGTTTAACCCTCTCTAGGATGAACCTGTTTATTCCTCTAGCAGTCCGTGTTATATTCAGTGCTCTTCACCACCACCACAGCTCAGAGGCATCATTTCTCCTTCTATCATCCGTAGTCATTGTCCAGCTTTCTGATGCGTAGCAAGTAATTACAAAGACCATGGCCTGGATCAAGCACACCTTAGTCTCCAGATTGACATCATTGCTCTTCTGTACTTTGGAGAGGGCTCTGACAGCCATCTTTCCCAGTGCAATTCATCTTTTAATTTCCCGGCTGCTGGTGCCAAGAGTGTTGATTGTGGAGCCAAGCAAACTGTTAACCATCTCAGTCTCTTCACAACCTATCATGATGCTGCCAATTGGCCCAGTGGTGTGGTCGGAATCTGTTTTCTTTGATATTGAGCTTCAATCCATTTTTAAGGCTGCAGTCCTTGACCTTCTGCAGTAAGCACTGCAGTTCCTCCTCAGTTTCAGCAAGCAGGATTATGTCATCTGAGGAAGAAATTGAAAATTTTTATCAAATCTTGCAGTCAACAATTGACCAAACATGCAGTCAAGATGCATTAATTATAATTGGTGGCTGGAATGCAAAACTTAAAACAGAGAAGAAGGAATAGTAGTTGGAAATACAGGCTTGGTAATAGAAATGAAGCTGGAAATAAAATAATATAATTTTATCTTTTCAAGGATTTATTCATTGCAAATACTTTTTTTAAAAGACACAAATGGCAACTTTACGCATGGGCCTCACCTGATGGGCTGCATAGGAATCAGATTGACTACATCTGTGGAAGGAATTGTTGGAGAAGCTCAATACTGGCCATCAAAACTAGGCCAGGGCACACTGTGGGTCAGACTCTCAGTTACTCATGTACAAGTTGAAATTGAGGTTGAAGATAATGAAAATAAGTCCATGAGAACCAAAATATGATCTTGAATCTATTGCTTCTGAATCTAAGATCATTTAAGTTTGAAGTATTGAATGCCAATGATGAAAAATCAGAAGAGTTATGCATTGATACCAAGGATGTAATTGTGAAGAAAGCAGAATGTCATTACTAAGGCAAAGGAGAAAAAAAAACCTAAATGGACGTTAGAAGATAACTCTGAAAATTGCACTAGAGCATCAAGAAAACAAAAAAAGGGAAAAGCTGAAGTAAAAGAGCTGAACAGATTTCAAAGGGCCACTCGGGAAGACAAAGCAGAGTATTATAATTGAATGTACAGAGAATTGCAGAAGCAAAAGGGATGACCTCACGCTGCATCTCTCAAGCTGAGAGAACTGAAAAAAATAACCAACATTTAAGCCTCAAGTTGCAATATAGAAAGATGCTATGGGCAATATATTGAAAGTATCAAAAGAAAATGGAGAAAATATACAGAATCTCTGTACCTACAGGAACTGACTTACACTGAAAAATTTCAGGAATTACTATATGAGTAGAAGTACCAATAGTCATGAAGGAGGAAGTTCCAGCTCTATTGATGGCATTGGCAAAAAATAAGGTCCTGGGATTCAATGAGATACCCATTGACTTGTTTCAGTTAACAGATGCAATCTTGTATGTGCTTACCAGACTATGCCAGGAAATTTGGAGAATAGCTGTCTAGCTATTGGATTGGAAGAGATCTGTATTTGTTCCCATTCCCAAGGTGATCCAATAGAATGTAGAAACTATCGAACAATATCACATGCAAACAAAATACTGCTGAAGATCATTCAAAAATGGCTGTAACAGGACATAAGTAGGAAACTGCTGGAAGTTCAAGCAGGATTTAGAAGAGGCCATGGCACTAAGGATATTGTGGATGTAAGATGGATGAAAGTAAAGAATACCAGAAGAATAAATATTTGCTTTGTAGGCAAAGGCACTTAACTGTGTGGATCATAAGAAATTATGGCTAACATTGAGAAGAATGGGAATCCAGAGCACTTAACTGTGCTTATGTGAAACCTAGACCGGGAAGCTGTTGTTTGAACAGAGCAAGGGAACACTGCATGGTTTAAAATTAAGAAGGGAGTGCATCAGAAGTATAATTTCTCTCCACACCTGTTCAGACTGTATGCTGAGCAAATTATTCAAGAAACTGAACTGAAGAGGAATGTGGCATCAAGATTTGAGGGAGACTCATTATTAATCTGGGTTATGCAGATAACACATCCTTGCTTGCTAAAAATGAGGAGTTGAAGCACTTGTTGCAGAAAATTGAAGCACTTGTTCAGAAAAAGCCTTCCGTGTGGATTGCATTCCATTGGACCAATGGGCAGCAGCATGATAGATGGAGAGATTGAAAACTGTCAACTTCATTTTATTTAATCCATAATCAGCAAGAGGAAAACTCCCAATGAGATGTATTGACAAAGTGACTGCAGCAGTGGGCTCAAGTGTAGTAGAGTTGATGAGGATGGCACAGCATAAGACAGGGTTCAGGTCTGTTATTTCTAAGTTGTACTCTACAGCACCTAACAACAACATGAGTTGGAACCAACTACACAGCAATGAGTGTATATCATTTTAAAAATGCCTGGAAATATAGTCTGCATTTTATACTTTTTCCACTAGGTGGTGTATGTGTTTTACCAAAAAAAGGTAAAAATATATCCTTTGCTCTGGTTTAGTATTTGGGCTAATACAAAAGAGACATTTCTTTGTCAGAAAAAGGACTTTATATAGTACAGTAAATTATAAATAGAAGAAAACAGTCAAGAAATTATATTTTAGAATTGAGCTTAAATAAATTGCACTTTACAGATAGCAATCACATGAAAAGCCTGAGTTGTATGTAGTTTTATATATATTTATTTTATATATTTCTTTTTAATTGGCATTATGTAAGGAGTATAATAATATATATTGCATGTGGTGTTTTTTTTTAAATAAAAGCATAGAACTTAGTGCCATTAGGTTAAAACTATCTCTTAACTGATCCTTACAGGGCTTTAGGGGGCTGCCAAGTAAACAGGAGAATATTGTCCCTCTTTTCTCCTGAGCAGCTGCTGGTGAATTTAAACTATATAAGGAGATTATTACCGCACACTGAAATCTACTGCATTCTTATTTATAAGCCAAACCATGAATCTGTCCTGCCCTGAAAAGAGTGCCTTAGATATGCAGCCCAGGGTTAAACCTTTTAGAAGGCCCTGGATTTCTTTTTCTTAGGTTAAATAAATGTCATTAAGAGAAAGATGGTAGTGTAAAATTGTGAAAATTTCACCTTTAATCTTGGTGCATTATAAAAAATATCACTTCTGTAATATTTAATTCCTAAAACTATTTTTTACAATCTTAACATTAATACAATAGTTTCAGAAATAATTACTATATTTATTTAGGTATGGGTTCATCACATTTGAAACACAAGAAGATGCTCAAAAAATTTTGCAGGAGGTAAGATCCTCTGATGTATCTGTGTGACTTTCACCTTTAGAGCTGCTTTTGTTGAAACTAATTCCTTCATATGTTTTTTTTAATAGCAGAGTTCCAGTATAATGAGCAGTTACTGAAATGAAAATAATTTTATGATAGTCATTTGTGTTCAAAATAATAGTTTTTCACTTTATTGGTTTGAACTAAGAACTTGAGATTGTGTCTTTTTGAAGTGTTAGTACTTAAAGTAGTTTTTAAATTCCTTAAAAATGTTATAAGCAAATTCTTACAGGTAAGCTGAAATTCTTTCCAGTCTTTTAATGTTATATTGAAGCTAAGAGGGAAAAGTCTATTATCTGTAATTAACTATAATAACCTTTTATGGCAAATACAGAATTTACTTTTTAACAAAGAATATAATTTTTAATTATAAATTATCATATACTTCAGGTAAGAAATTAGTATCACAGAACTGAAGCCAAACTTAAAACCCAGGTCTTTTCAATCCCAAAATGTTTCCCTTTCCACTGTACCTTCCTGCTTTCAAAGAAAGTCAGTCGGAATTTTTTAAAATCTTTCTCACTGGATTTCATTTGTGGTGTTATATAGTGCAAAAAATAATAATTCATTCTTTATTGTAGGCAGAAAAACTTAACTATAAGGATAAGAAACTGAACATTGGTCCAGCAATAAGAAAACAACAAGTAGGAATCCCTCGTATGTATTGAGATAGAATATTTTGTTAATGTTCTTGGTAGACATTTTATATAACTTTATTAAGATGTAAAGTTTCTTTTATTTAATAAAAGTGACCAGATGAGAATTTCTTACCACAAATCAATATTAGATCTATATATTAGCTTTTTGGAGGATTACAGAACAATTTCACCACTTCCTGGTCGGTTTACTGAACTATAGAGCCTTCTATGATGCTGGAAGCTATGTCACCAGTATTTCAAATAGCAGCCGGGTCAGCCATGGTACACACATTTTTTAGCTGAACTCCCAGACTAACAAGTAAGACTGGCCATCCACTTTTGAAATAACAAACCTTCAAAAATCCTATGAAATATTTAAATTGAAGCTTAATAAAATAAACAGTATTTCACAGAAGCCAAAATAATGACATTCATTTTCTCAAAACTCATTGTCATTGCGTCAGAACTGATACCTGATCCTTCAGTGGGTTTTCAGAGGCTGTAAATTACACAGGAGGAGACTACCCATCAAAGCCACTGGTGAATTTGAAGCACCACATGCTGCCTTTGGGCTAACAGTTTACTTCCCCTGCTGATTATGGCACTAGCTGAAGAAATTTAAAAGAAGTCCACAAGAGCAAAAGTATGACTTTTAGTTATCCAACCTAAATTTAAAAACTGCCTCAAGAAAGTTTAACAGGGCAGCAAGTAATAGATGTTGGAGAGGATGTGGTGAGAAAGGAACTATTATACATTGTTGATGGGATTGTAAAATGGTACAACCAATCTGGAAGGCAGTTTGGCGCTTCCTTAAAAAGTTGAACATAGAAATTCCCTATGACCCAGCTATTCCACTACTTGGAATATACCCTGAGAATATGAGAACTGAGGCACAAACTGAAATTTGTACACCAGTGTTCATAGCAACATTATTCACCATCTCAAGAACATGGAAACAGCCCAGATGTCCAACCACAAACAAATGGAGAAATTATGGTACATTCACACAATGCAATACTATGCAGCATGCAGGAGCAATAACTTTGTAAATTATTACCTAATTTGGGAGGGACTGGAGAGTATTATGCTGAAAGAACTAACTCAGTCCCACAAGGATAAATATTGTATAAGACCATTATTGTAGAATGCGTATAAGGATCCAAGAGGGGTGGGAGATGCTGAAAGCAGAGGGATGTGGATGTACAGAGGAAAGAGGGGATTAGTCATTGGGTTATACAGTTTGATGGGAGGGTGAGAGAAATTGAAAGAATTTGTTTGAATTTGTACTATAATTTTGTAAATAAAGTAATTAAATGAAAAACTGCCTCAAGAATAAATTTGATGCATTGAACACTAATGAATGCAGACTGTAAAAGTAGTGGGATGGCATTAAGGACATCATCCTTGAAAAAGCAAAAGACAGGACAGAAAGAAAAGACTAAAATAGAGGTCAAAAAATGCTCTGAAACTTACACTAGGAGAGACAATAACAAAGGGAAAAATTGCTCAAGTAAGAGAAATCACTTGATTTCTCCAGTGGGCTTTCAGAAGGTGTCAATCACATGAGAGAAGATTGCTTCTCTTTCTCCTGAGAAGCACCTGTTAGATTAGAATCACTTGCCTTTAGGTTGACAGAGGAATTCTCTCTCTATTCTCTAAGCCACCAGCGCTCTCTGATGATTAACATAGAACATATTTTTTTAAAAAATCTTAACAACCCAGGATGGGTCAAAGACAATCAACAATTAAAAAGAAAGTTTGAATAAATACCTAAACTTAGTCTGTCCTAGATAAATGAAACTAGATTGCTCCTTGGAGACAAGGGTGGTGATAATTCTTGTCTGTTATACATAGGGCATGTTGTTAGGAGAGGCCAGTCTTTGGAGAAGGACATCATACTTGGAAAGGTGGAGAGTCACTGTGAGAAAGGAAGAACCTCAACAAGATAGATTGATACAGTGGCTTTCACAATGGACTCAGTTGTGTGTGGGAGAGTGTTCAGATATATTGTTCATAAGGTCACTAACTTGTAGTAGACTAGATGGACTGGCATAGGAGTTGAACATGCTAGCCGTTTTGCAGATGATGCATAGCCCAGCAATGTTTTGTTCTGTTGTACATAAGCTTGCCATGGGTCAGTCAACTCAGGGATTGCTAACACTCTATATTACCCATTTTATTTATCAAAATTATAATTAACTGAGCACTGGTGGCCAAATTAACCAGGGTGCTGTTGTGCAAACAGCAAAGGAACACTATTGTTGTGTACTGTTGAGTCAAAACCAACCCATAGCTGACCCTCTGACGGGTTTTCAGAGGCTGTTAATCACACGGGAGGAGATCGCCCATCCTTCTGCAGAGTAGCTGGTGGCCTTGAACTGCGTTCCTTCGGGATTGTACCTTAGCCTCTTGTCACTATGCCATCACTATGCTGTATTCTCTCTCCACACCTATCCAGTCTGTATGCTGAGCAAATTATCTGCGAAACTGGACTCTGAGGATGAATGTGGCATCAGGATCAGAAGGAGACTCATCAATAACCTATGTAATGTAGATGATGCATTCTTGCTTGCTGGAAGTGAGGAGTACTTGAAGCACTTGTTGTAGAAGATCAAAGAATGTCGCCTCCAATATGGATTACTTCTCAATGTCAAGAAAACAAAGATTCTTACCACTGGACCAATAGGCCGCATAATGATAGATGGAGAAAAGATTGAAACTGTCAACAACTTCATCTTAATTGAATCCACAGTCAACACCTTTGGTACCAGTAGTCAGGAAATCTGGAGATATATTGCACTGGGAACGTCGCTGTTAGGGACCTCTAAATTATTGAGGTTTGATGTCAGTTTGAAGAGTTAAGGTGCATCTGATTGAGGCCATGGTCTTTCTGATAACTTTCTGTGCTTGTGAGAGCTGGGCAATGAATAAGGATGACAGAAGAATTGATGCCTTTGAGCTGTGGTATTAGAAAAAAGTACTGAACATTCCTTGGACAGTCAAAAGAACAAGACATCTTTGAGAGGGTGCAGCCAGACTGATCTTTGAAGGCAGATGTGGGCTTCGCCTCCTCACCACATATGCTTCGGGCATGTTACTAGAAGGGCTATTACTTGGAGAGAGAGATGATGCTCGAAAAGGTAGTGGGTCATGGAAGACCCTTGACTGGGTGGATTTACATGGTGACTAATGCAATAGTCTCTAATTTGTCAGGAAGTGTGAGGATGGACAAGACAGGACAGGATTCAGATTTGTTGTTCATAGGGTTACTGTGTACACCTAACAACAACAGCGTAACAAACTGGTGCCCTAGTGATAAGGAGTTGAGAGCTGCCAACCCAAAGGCAAGCAGTTCGAATCTTCCAACTGCTCCATGGGAGAAAGACAAGTTGTCTCTTCCTGTGCCGTTTACAGCCTCTGAAAACCCACTGGAGTGTTAGCTGTGAGTCAGTTTGACTCCATGGCATATAACAACAGAAATTACCAAAATATTTAATGATTAACATGAAACCTATCTTCTTATAGGACAGAGACCATGTTTTAAGTTTTTGTTAGATTTTCTGCTTGGGATATATATAATCTGCCTTGTAATAGTATGTACTCAACATTTATTTTACTGATAAACCTGTAGTTTATGGATATGCTTTAGTGAATTAATGAACCTTCTGAAATTTTGGGCAAAACTGTATATATTTCTGAGAAAATTATTACTTTTATCAGATTATTAAAATGATAAATTAAGAACTGCTAAAATAAACAACGGGAGAGTGCAAGTGGCCAAGTGGTAAAGAGTTGAGCTGTAAACCCAAAAGCATATGGTTCAAATCCACTAGATGCTCTGTAGAATAAAAATGAGCAGTCTCCTACCTTGTGATTAAGTCTCTAAAAACCCATTTGGAGGTCAGCTATGAGTAAATTCTGACTTTGACAGCACCTAACAACAGAATAATAATAATAAACCAAATCCAGTAAAACTGAACAGTGATAGTGCCACTTCAGTGGTAAGTTGATACTACTTGAATTTGGCTTCTGGACAAATATCAGTCAGCTCACTTGAAGTTTGTCAAAATTGAAATCCTCAGGTCTCACTGCAGACTACAACACAGAGTTCACATATAGCAACAATTGTGAAGATGACCAACAGTTAGTTCTGTTAATAAAGTTGGTTTTAATCAAAACCAACTTTTTAGCAACTAACACCACCACTTCGGTCTTAGCGGAATCAAAACCACTGAAGGTGGTGCAGGAATTTTTCTTTTAATAACTGTCTAGGTGATTCTTACTACATACTAATTTTTTAATTAATTTTAATGAATACATACTAATTTTTAAAAAGCATTGGCATAGTGAAAGATTACCAATATCAGTACACTTATATGATCAATGAGTTTTTGTCATTTACTGAGTTACATCAACTGGTTACCACCACTTACTTAACACAGCCTTTAAAGCCTCCTTCATAGCAAATACAGAAATTATCATTTTGGTTTTGCTGTACATAACTTTGGGGGAAAAGAGTCCCAGACCAGCCACTAAATATTTGGGGTCATATTTGCAGAAGTAGCAGTTGTAGCATTAGATGAGAAAATAAAGGAGTCTCACAAGATAAATGAATGTTTACTGATAATTTATCTAAAGAATTTCTAAATGAGAACCAAAATATCATCAGAAAAGTAGAAAGTCCTCCATCTTCACCACTTAACGTCTTCATGGACCTTTTGTTGTTAAGTGCCACAAATAAAATTATGCTTTAGGAACTTCACTACAGTGTCTACCAATAGTCTTCAAATAATATTAAATTATGTAATTTATATTTTTAAAAATAACTGCTTCACAGAGAATAATATAAGTTGTTAAACTATATGTTAATTTTATTGGTGTTGGAATCTGAACTGGTGGATTTATAGCATTCCTGATCTTTTTCTTTAATTCACCCTAAATAAATTGAATCCCTATGGTAGTAAATTTGAAATATATATCCATATGTATTTTAACATGTGAAAATTTTAAAATACTGTTTTAGTATTCATTTTTTAGCCTCAAAAATAATACTTTTTAAAGAACAAAAAAAAGGAAAAAAATTAACAAAAAAAAGAAATAAAAAAAATACTTTTTAAATAGTATTTATAAATTACATTCAGTTTTGAGGTTTCCCTTTCTAAAAATTTTAAAAGATAAAATTGAACACACCAATTATTATTTTCATCTCTCCTTTAGGTTCCAGTATCATGCCAGCAGCTGGAACAATGTATCTAACAACTTCAACAGGCTATCCTTATACCTATCATAATGGTGTTGCTTATTTTCATACTCCAGAGGTAGCATCTGTCCCACCACCTTGGCCTGTAAGTAATTTTGTTTAAGGATTTTCTTTTTTATACTGATAGTACAAATTTTTTAAATACTTGTTTTTATTCTGAAATATTTCAGCCACAAATACTACTAATAAAACATGTCAAACACCCCAATTTAACAGATGTCACTATTTTGTCATATTTACTTATTATAAAGTAAGAATAAATATAACAAATACAAGTAAAAGTGTCCTTTCCATCCTAACCATTTACCTTCTCCTCAGAAGTAACCAGAATATCTTTCCTGTCCATTTTATGTTTTTACCAGTGTATCATATAATCTACTTTTCTAAGTAATGCTATTTTAAAATTAAGCTATGTTTATCTTTACATATAAGTCCACCTATTTAAATATTTTATGACTCTCCATAGTATGTGTCATAATTTTTTATATTCTCCTATTGATGGATATTTTAACTTCCTTCCCAATATTTTCTAAAAGCAAGGTTACCATTAACATCTAGAGGTTACACACACACACACACACACAC